CATTTTGACCTATTGAAGCCCCAAATTGACCTACATGAAAATATTTGTAATTCAATATAAGATTGCTCAATATTAGTGATTGCAGTAAAAGAATCATTTCCTTTAAGTAGTAACCCCAATAGTAACTGCTTGAAAGGGGTCACTAATTAGTGATCAACAGTAAAGGCCTACCCCCAAATTTGTGACCCTCTTTGTGACTGAGCAAGAGAGGATCACTAATTAGTGACCTATTTTGTGACCGACTCATATTCGGTCACTAGTTATTAACTCTTTGTAACTAAAACCGTAGGTGGTCGCTAATTTATGACAAGTAGTGTCTGTGGTCACAAATCGGTTATTAATTTTTTCCAAAAAAATTAACATTACTTGATCACTACTAGGTCACTAATTGGTCACTAATTAGTGACTCATTACTGCAGTCACTAGTAGCATTTTTTCTGGTAGTGAGCCTTTACTAATGAATGTACATGCAAATTTTTTGAAAGTCATAGTTCTTTTGGCCTTGAAGCTGATTGACTAAGATGATTGCATTCCTTTTATATTGAGTTAGTTGCAATAGATTATTTGGTTTATCTTTAAATGCATTTCCATGTAGGTCACTTTCTTCCAACAAGGAACCATTCTTGTGTGTCAAATGATAGTAGATTTATAATGGAACCCCCTCACAAAGTACATTTTCCTATTCTTTTTTTGTGAAAATTTCAGTTTAATGTAGACAATTATTTTATCAATTGATCTATCTTCATTCTTACTTAGGAGATTCAAGTACAATGAATGCTTTGTTTTGTGAAAGACATTGGAGCCGTTGATTTACACAAATAATAATTGATTCAATTTCAGAACACGTATATGGTGAAGGGTTAACAATATAAAGATGAAGGAGAACAACGTATTTGAGCTTAGCAATGGTGCGCTTTGTTCCACATCACCAGTAACTTTATTGATGACAAGCCTATCACTTTAAGTGAGAGATAATTAATGGCACTATGGGACGTATAGATGACTTTTGTTGTTTAATGTGTTTGCTCTATTATATCATGATCATAAAATTTAACTCTAGTGGCTTTTTTGAAGACTTTTCTTATATTTTTAAACAATAGAGAATGTCTAGAATCTAAATATTAGTTCACTATTTTTCTAGAGAACATCTGCAATTTTTTTCCTTATTGTTCCTTAATATTAGTTTACTATTTGCTAAAAATATCCGCTTTTTAATTGAGCCTTGGTTGAACATTTGTTTGGCACAATATAATGATTTGAAGAGTTTGTAACAAATCTAGTTTGCAAGTGTGTTTTTTCCCTTTTTTTTTTTGCTTTTGTAATACGATATGGTTGTAACTTTATTATGAATATTCTTGATGTTGTGACAAAGTATGAGTCATCATGTCAAGGCCCAAACAAATGGTGGAAGCTAATTTCATTTTTAAGATAAAGTGTTTTTTTTTTTTTTTGATATATATATTGATGTATGTTAACTGGGGATGAAGCTTTGAATCAAATAAATTAGTTATTAGTTACAAAGATTTCTTACTATAGTATTTTTAAGAAAAAAACAAAATTTTATTATAAAAATATATTGCAATGGGCTTTTAGCACAAAATCTTATAACAATGAAATTATAAATTTTTATTAAGTTTTGTAATGAGAAAAGTAGTTAGTAATCTTGCAACTTTGTTACTAGAGTATTTGTAATGAAGCCAAACTTTTTGTTACAAAAACATATTGCAACAGGGTTTTTAGAACAAAAGATTATAGAGACAAAATTTTACAATTTTTTGTTACAAAAACTTATTCTTTGTAACACAAAAATTAGTTACTAATTATTCTTATATTGTAACTAACCCAGTTTTGTTACTAAAATATTAGTAACAAAGTCTTAAATATCATTACAAATACATATTGCGATGGGCCGTTGAGCACTAAAAGTTGTAGTAATTGGCTTTATAGTAACTAAAAATTTCGTTACAAAAAGTGTATTTTCTTGTAGTGCTTATTGGGAGTTTGTTGTTTATTCCGTCTACCAAGCATTGTGCTATTTGAGTTTCAAGAAAAGGCTTCGCAAGCATCATTCTAAGTGGAGTTCCTTTCTTGACGAGCATGACTTTATAATTAATACAAAACTAGAGAGTCCAATGTGGTTGCTGATACATTACGTAGGTGCTTTCTCCTCTTGACTATCACAAGTAGTTACAAGATTTGAAGAAGTGAAAAATCAATTGGTTTTTGCATTAGTTTATTCCAATAAATAGGCCCTATACAAATCGTACTACTGAACCTCCAAAAAAATAGGCTACTTCACCAAAAAGAAAGGTGATTAATTACATATTCCAATCACCACATAAATTTAAAAAGTAGTCTAGCTAAAAATGACCCCACCCACTGGCCAAAGCCTTGTCAATTCTTCCTTTTGAAATGATAATAGAGTACTTCCAACCGAAAAACATAGAGCAAAAAAACACTATTACTTGAGGAGCGGTTAAATACATAAGAAGCAGTAGTTCTAACACAATCTAGCTAGAATTTCTCATTTTGACATCAGAAAGGGGCTATGGGGCATGACCACAGTTTCTCCAAGAACTATATTCTGCTTTCACTAGAGGAGGTTATTCTTCTTAATGTGATTTGGGTCCTTTTCTACAATGACTTGGAGAAAATCAAATTCATAGATTGCCCTAAATGGCTCACAAATTTGAGCTCTAGGTGGCTCATATTCATCTCCCTCATGGTTCAAAAGGTTCTACTTTGTCCTCAAGTGGTGGATCAATCTCCTTTCTGGCAACCATAATTTCACTAGAAAGTAAAGCATTACTGTGAAAAAAAAAATAAAGCATCACAACAATCCATTGCTACGATAATTCGTGACATGTTTAAATAGTAGATTAAGCATCTATCAATGACCTTAGGTAGTTATAAATATATTAAACAATAATTATGCATTAACACTTAACATGTTCGATATAACAATACATAAACTCTATACCACACAATGAAAACAAAACTTTGCTATAAATAATGGAGCAACTCTATAAACTAGACGAACCAACATGAACTAAGAAAATGTAATACATGTCTACAAGGAGACTCCCACACATACGCAGAGATTGGGCTCACCAAAGGCAGGACTCCTTTATCAGGTAGATGAACCTGAACCTGGAAGGAGAGAAAGAGGGAGTGAGTTGTGAGATCTAGTGAGTATTAATATATATCCATGACAAATATGGACAAGCAATGTTTTAACAAAATCTTTTTGACATTTTTCCAAAATATACGTACAACATCAACTTGGAACAAATATTGCAAACAAGTATATGTAGAAAATATTTAAGTAAACATTTATTCAATACAAAATGGGAGGTCTTAATCTAGAACTAGAATATCAAAACCATAATGTGATCCAAACCATCAAAGGTAACAAAACATATCCATGTGTTAGCCAAACACATCGAGGTAGCAACACCTCTATTAGATGAGATACAGACCAAGGTGTAATAAGGCTAGCATTTACTATTGTTGGCTATAACATTTTATCGAAGTACCCTCCCTTAAAAACACTTTTAGCATACATTTCAAAGTTTAATTCATATGTACCCCAAAAAAAAAAAAAAAAACATTATAACCTGCTTGTCCCAAGTTTTGATTAAGCTTTAAGAATAAGAACGTCTCCAAAACTTCCATTTGAAATTTTCAATAAATGCATATACAATTAAATATAAAAACATTGAATATAACTTAATAATAAGTCATCACTCACAATTTAGTTTAAACCAAATAATTCAAGTCTATGATGTCATAGAGTTGATAGCACCAACAAAAGAAGTTTCCAATTGACCTACTATTACAAACAGAGCATCATTATGCATACTCGATACTCGAAAAGTTAAAATCTTAAAACAATCAAGGCATACCGTAGATTCCAACAAAAATAATCCCTAAATTCAATTACTCACATAACCTTAGATAAAAAACCACTAAATTATAGATTTGTAGATAAGGAAAGCACAATCAAAGAAGAAACATCATAGTGACCAAAGAAGCCAAATGGATGCAGCATTAACATATAGAAGTGAAACAAAACTAGTTTTTGCTGAATAGAAGTAAAGCTAAAGCCATTGCACCAATAGAGAAGCAACAATAGCAACTTGGCAAGAATAATAACTAATAACATAGTAAAAACTTAATAGAGGGGAAACAAAAGAGTGAACCTAACCAAACAAAATAAAGGGAAAGCAACAGGAGAAGAATGGGGATGTAGGAACCACAAACTGAACAAAAAGAAAAGCAATGGCAGAACTAAAATTGAAGAACACACTCAAAGGTTTAATGAAACAACTTAGTATCTACACAATGTAACCATGCAATAAAGTAAAAGGGGGGAAATAGATAGAAATTACCTATGGCAATCATTTGTGGGTTGAAGCTCAAAATTGCACAAAGAGGAAGTTAGAGGGTGTCTTTAGATTGGCAATCACAGTAGGAAGGATGATTGGTTAGCAATTCCCTAGCGGCTTGATTAAGAGCAAATATCAAAAGCCGTTGTGCAGTTGTATATGACATTAAAGTTAGTAACCCAAGTTGAGGAAATCAAGTCAGCGGCTTGTATAGGGAAAAAGGCAAAGGAAACAATAGAAGATGGGCTTACCTAAGTTAATGGGAGTTTAGACATCAACGAAGGATGAATTACAACTACCCTATAGCTTTGACTAGCAATAGAGGCAACAAGAAAGAAAACAACTATGGGACTGCAACCAACATAAAGAAGATGAAAAAGGGGAAGAAGAGGGACTCACTAATATTGGGATCATGTTCTGAAGGAGTTAGTAATGGCAATAAACTAATGGAAGAGATAGAGAGGGGGGGACTGAGCGGCTATAGTACTCAACTTTGCCGTTGGTGTCAAAACAATCCAGAAATAGAGATTATTGAAGTTGATTTTGTTAAGGAAATGTAAGTCTATTGTATAAAAGTTCAAGATCAATGAGAGACTCTAGCATTCTAATTGATTATGAAATAGATCCAGAGAGTTTATTAGAATTAAGAGAAAGAAATTTGAGGTTCCCCAATTCCAACAAAGAAATTGGAATGGGGCCTGTGAGACAATTGTCTGAAAGAGAAAGATTAATAAGAGACTTTAGCATTCCGATTTCTTCTGGAATAGATCCAGAGAGTTGATTACCATCAAGGTAAAGAGTTTCAAGGTTGCGCAATTTAGCTAAAGAAGTTGGAATGGAACCTGTGAGATTGTTATCTGAAAGTTCAAGATCAATGAGAGACTTCAGCATTCCAATTTCTTCTGGAATAGATCCAAAGAGTTCATTACCCCAAAGGTAAAGAGTTTTGAGGTTGCCCAATTTAGCTAAAGAAGTTGGAATGGGACCTGTGAGACTATTGTTTCCAAGTCCAAGATTAATGAGAGACTTTAGCATTCCAATTTCTTTTGGAATAGATCCAGAGAGTTGATTACCCCGAAGGTAAAGAGTTTCAAGGTTGCCCAATTCAGCGAAAGAAGTGGGAATGGAACCTGTGAGATTGTTGTTTGTAAGATCAAGATCAATGAGAGACTTTAGCATTCCAATTTCTTGTGGAATAGATCCACAGAGTTGATTAAAATGAAGGAAAAGAGTTTCAAGGTTGTGCAATTTAGCTAAAGAAGTTGGAATGGGACCTGTGAGACTGTTGTTTGAAAGTTCAAGATCAGTGAGAAATTTTAGCATTCCAATTTCTTGTGGAATAGATCCAGAGAGTTCATTACCCCAAAGGTAAAGAGTTTTGAGGTTGCCCAATTCAGCTAAAGAAATTGGAATGGGACCTGTGAGATTGTTATCTGACAGTTCAAGATCAATGAGAGACTTTAGCATTCCAATTTCTTCTGGAATAGATCCAGAGAGTTCATTACCCCAAAGGTAAAGAGTTTTGAGGTTGCCCAATTCAGCTAAAGAAGTTGGAATGAGACTTGTGAGATTGTTATCTGATAGTTCAAGATCAATGAGAGACTTTAGCATTCCAATTTCTTCTGGAATAGATCCAGAGAGTTCATTACCCCAAAGGTAAAGAGTTTTGAGGTTGCCCAATTTAGCTAAAGAAGTTGGAATGAGACCTGTGAGACTATTGTTTCCAAGTCCAAGATTAATGAGAGACTTTAGCATTCCAATTTCTTTTGGAATAGATCCAGAGAGTTGATTACCTCGAAGGTAAAGAGTTTCAAGGTTACCCAATTTAGCAAAAGAAGTGGGAATGGAACCTGTGAGATTGTTGTTTGTAAGATCAAGATCAATGAGAGACTTTAACATTCCAATTTCTTGTGGAATAGATCCACAGAGTTGATTAAAATGAAGGAAAAGAGTTTCAAGGTTGTGCAATTTAGCTAAAGAAGTTGGAATGGGACCTGTGAGACTGTTGTTTGAAAGTTCAAGATCAGTGAGAAACTTTAGCATTCCAATTTCTTGTGGAATAGATCCAAAGAGTTCATTACCCCAAAGGTAAAGAGTTTTGAGGTTGCCTAATTCTCCTAAAGAAGTGGGAACATGACCTAAGAAATTGTTCTGTGAAAGTTCAAGAACAATGAGATATTTTAGCTTCCCTATTTCTTGTGGAATTGTACCTGAAAGAAGATTTTGGTGGAGGCTGAGATAGGTGAGTCTTGAACTATTACCAATATGGGGAGGAATGATTCCATAGATTGAATTGTTTGTCAAGTTAATGCTAATAAGTTGGGAAAACGAACAAAAGCTTAGACTTGAAAGTGTGCCTCTCAAACCATAGCCTGTAAGTTTAATACCTTTCACATGGCTAGCCTTATTGCAAGAAATTCCTATCCAGCTGCAGTGGTTGGTTCCAGCCCATGATGAGAGGCGAGATTGGCTTTGGTTTTGGAGGCTAGCTTTCCAGTTGAGCAGTGCCTGTAGTTCATTTAGACTTTCTTTACTAAGTTTAGTACTATTAATAGTAGAAGATGCAAAAGAAGCAGTAGAGTTAAAAGAAGAGGAGGATATGAGTATTATTAGAATAACAATGATGAAAACAACTCTAGAACAAGAGAACTGATTGGAAAGTGAATTTGAGGTGAACATGATTTCTTGGTTTGCTAATAAATGCTACGAAGGGAAGTAATTGGGTAGAGAATATCATTGGGGGTATTTATAAATTGCAAATGCATATATTTACATGGGGTGAAGTGGCCATCTTATGTTTGACCCTTGGATTTAATCAAGACGGCAAACTTTGCTGTCAACGAAGTCAAGAAAAAACGAGACCAAAAAACATAACCAAATAAGCTTGTTTTTACTTATCATTATCCTTTCCATTTTTCAATTTTCAAAATCCTTTTGTATATTTCATGTGATTATTTAGATCATGTTCCGTGTGGTTATAAACCTTTAAAGTCCATGTGTATTTGACTCTGATTTCAATTCTTTTTGTCAATTCAAAACGAAAGAAAACTTTAAATCTATGTTTTAGGCTCCCAGTTTATAAGAATTAGAAGTTTATTTCTTTTTTATGCTTAAAAACATATTTTATCTTTAAAGTCCATGTGTATTTGACTCTGATTTCAATTCTTTTTGTCAATTCAAAATGAAAGAAAACTTTAAATCTATGTTTTAGGCTCCCAGTTTATAAGAATTAGAAGTTTATTTCTTTTTTATGCTTAAAAACATATTTTATCTTTACTTATTTTGTTTTGGAAGAAATCAATCCAATGAGATAAAAATTTAAATAAACATTTTTTAATTAATTTTCCATAAATATTTTAAGACACTGCCAAATTTCAAAGCAAAGCAAAATAGTGCAAAGGAAAATTTAGAATTGTAAAAAGAAAGAAAGAAAGAAAGAAAGACAGAAATCAATAGATAATAAAGGCTATGACATTTGATATAATAAATAAAGTAATATCTTCATGGGGATCGTTTAGAGGAGAAATTTGACAAACATGTGAGTTGGAACTGATTTGCTCTGCTTCGTTTGGATTAATGATTTTACATTGAATTAATTATATCTATATTATATAAAGTGAAATGATATATAAAACATTTATTATTTAATAAATTAGGTTAAGAGTAATTTCTATATTTAAATAAATACAAAAGATTTTGTCAAACTAGACCTCTCATTTTCTATTCATTTGTTTTTAATTGCTTTCAACTCTTATTATGGTTTACAAAATGGTCAAGCATGACATTTAAATTGACCACTTGACCTATAAACTAATTCGCAAGAATTTGACTATTAATTAATATCATTTGGTAACTCAATATTTTTTATTTATTTTTTCAATTTTTTGAAGTTTATTTTGTAAATTATAGGCAACCCATTAAAAGTATTATACTTATTATCGTAATTTATAAAATTATTGAAAATATAAAATTTATTTTTTGCATTTGTTTAGACATTCCTACTCTCCTACCTATTTAATTTCAGTACTTTGTTTTTTTTAATAAATATAACTAAAAACAAAAATAAACATTACCAAACCCCACCCAAGTCTTTTGGTTAGAGTTTTATCTTGTGATGTTTTAGTATATCAAGAATTAATTTTAATACTGGTGGAAAACAATTGACTAAAAGAATTGAGAAAAGGTAAAAATAAGAACTAAGGTAGAAGATCTTCGGGGGAATAAGAAATTGTAATTTAACCTCTCATACGTAAAACACACACAAAATCAGCAATATAAAATCTTTATCATGCGAAGTATTTCCTAAAACATCAGTCTCGTGATGTGTGGATTTTTGTATTGCCCATTATTTATTTTTTTAATTTTTTGAAGTTTATTTTGTAAATTATATGCAACCCATTAAAAGTATCATACTTATTATCGTAATTTATAAAATTATTGAAAATATAAAATTTATTTTTTGCATTTGTTTGGACATTCCTACTCTCCTACTTATTTCATTTTAGTACTTTGTTTTTTTAATAAATATAACTAAAAACAAAAATAAACATTACCAAACCCCACCCAAGTGTTTTGGTTAGAGTTTTATGTTGTGATGTTTTGGTATATCAAGAATTAATTTTAATACTGATGGAAAACAATTGACTAAAAGAATTGAGAAAAGGTAAAAATAAGAACTAAGGTAGAAGATCTTCGGGGGAATAAGAAATTGTAATTTAACCTCTCATACGTAAAACACACACATAAAATCAGCAATATAAAATTTTTATCATGCGAAGTATTTCCCAAAACGTCGATCTCATGATGTGTGAATTTTTGCATTGCCCAAAAGGCAAGGCAATAACGTTTTGCATATTCAAAATAATACAAAGACTTCACCAAATTAGACTTGTCACTTCCTCTTCATTCATTTTCAATTGCTTTAAACTTTATTGCTATCAACCAAATGGCTGAAAATTAAACTCTTATCCTTATTAGTTGACCTTTAATGTAGCCAGAACTTCTAGGCTGGGAGCTTCTTTGCCTATTTCTTGAGTGTTTGAGTTGGGGTTGGGTCTTGTCACATGCATGTTTTGGTCTACCACGAATTAAATCAAGATTTTTTTTTTTCGTGTGAGGACACTTTTTTTTTATTTTATTTTTGTTGATGTTTCGTATGGGGAGCTCCCCCCCCCCCCCCCCCCCGCCCCCCACCTTTCTCTTGTTTTACCAAAATAGAAGATGAAAAAGCCAACTCTTCTGTTACTACAAAATGAATAAATAATTTTTTTTGATACATATGGGTATTATATATTATTAATTGCATTAAGCTTTTGCAACATTTTTTTAAAAAATATTTAGGTGTAAATGTTTTATCTTAAACACTAAATATAATTTTGGTAAATTTGATTCAAAATCAGACGAATGTATATTTTTAGGTTATTTTATTATAAGTAAGATTTATTAAGTTTTTAATAAAAGAATTAATGTACTCGAAGAATCTATGCATGTCACATTTGATGAAACGAATCCGTGTTTATATAAAGTTATATATGATGATATTGAAAATGATGTAGTTAATTTAAATATTAATAATAAAGAAAAAGAAATTAAGAGTTCCCCTAGTATAAAAATCTTGATGAAACTCTACATAATAATTTGTCAAAAGTTTGAAAGTATAAATCTAGTCATCATATGAAACAAATTATTAGTGATCGTAATGATTATAGAAAGACTAGAAGTCAATTGAAAAATATTTGTGAACACTTGTGTTTTATTTCTCAAATTGATATTAATTTACATTAATTTTATAATTGTCATTGATTTGTTTCTAGAAGGATTATGAGCAGTCATATTGTAGTCAATATGGCAGCAATCATACTCTAGAAAGCTCATTTGATACACATAAATGGGTTGTAATATATGATGGGTCTTGCAAGAATCGAATTTATAGTTTTGGGAATGCCTATCATTGCAAAGAGTTTGCTTCTATTGGCACTTCATCTAACCCCATCTTCATAGTGCCTCCTCCTGGATATGTCAGTTCAGATCAATTGTAAGAGGTAATTGCTAAAGCACTTGTAGAGGAGAGACAAATAGCAGTACCAAGAGAAGCATAAGTGCTTGAGGAGGCCAAGAAATTAACAGAAGAGACACTAAAAGCCAGAGAAGAGACAATGAAGGCCAAGGAAGAAACTATGATGGCTGCAATGATGGAAAAGTTCAATGCAATGCAAGGTAAACCATCAACCCAAAATGAGATCACTAGAGAAGGTAATAAGTATTAAAATTATAGTTTAACATTGTTATGTTTTAAAACTTTGCATTATTATTTCATTTTTCATGTTCGAAAATAATTATCAAATTGTATTATTAAAGATTTTGACATTTCAAACTAATTGTATTACTTTTCATGTATGCTACTGGCGAATTACAATTAAAATGATACATATGTATTACAGGAATTATAATACATTATGAAAATTGAAATAAGATATACGTATTATAGCAATTATAGCACTAGTGACTCCTAAAATGGGTCACAAAGAGGTCACAAAATTAGTGACCCAATTGTGACCCCACACACAGTTATTATATTAAGGTTAATGGGGTCACTAATTAGTGATGAAAAAATTGCGGTCATTGATTACCTACCGCGTTTGTGGTCACTAAATGTGTATCTAATTTTGTTAATAAAAAAGGTCACTAAATAATCAGTGACCAAAATTATTTGGTCACAAATTAGTGACCACATGTTTTGGTCACTAATTAGTGACTGACAATATTCAGTCACTGATTAATGATGGGAACACTGCGGTCACTATTTAGTGACCAAAATTTTGGTTGTCACTAATTAGTGACTAACTACTACACTGCAAAAAGAATGAATTACTGACCGATTATAGCGATCACTAGTTGGTGACCAATTTTTTCGGTCACTAATTAGTGGCCGCCTTTGTCACAAAACCGATTAGTGATGAGACCTTTTATGACTGACTATATTGGTCACAAATGTGGTCATTGATTCATTCAGTGATCGCTGCCCTTTGAATTTAGTGGCTGATGATGTGGTCACTAAATCCATTTTTTCTAATAGGGAAGCACATTACAGCAAACTATGTCGAAACTTGGGTTTTTGGGTGAGGAAGAAGGACTCGGATGGTCTTTGGGTCCATGTTGAGTCAACTCAGCAGAGTCGAGTTTTGACTGGCTCAGTCGGATGATTTGGCTTAAGTAAGCTGGTTTAGTTTTTTTTTTTTTTTTTTTTTTTTTTTTTTTTTTTTTTTTTGCAGTTTTGGTCCTATTTAGCCTGGTTCATAGAGCTTAGTTTGGTTCAGCCTAGTTCTAAAACGTTATGGCCTAGTCTAGCCTAGATTCTGGTCCAATTCGAGGGGATTCAAGGGGATTTTAAGGGATTTTGATCTAGGTCAATCTAGTTATGGGGAATTCTAGTCTTGTTCAGTTTAGTTTTGGATAATTCTAGGACAGTTTAGTTCAATTCTAGGGGATTTGGATCTAGTTCAATCTACTTATACGAGATTTTGGCCCGGTTCAATCTAGTTCTACAAGGTTTTGATCCGATTTAGTCCAATTTAGGGGAGTTTGAGGCCGGTTCAACATGGTTCAAGGGTGTTTAAGGTCAGTTTAGCCTAGTTTAGGGATATTTGAGGCTAGTTCAGTGAGTCTAGTGGTATTTGAGG